TAGGCCTTTCATCAGCTGCATGGGCTGAGCCACCTTACTGTCAGACATAGTGATGCATTACTGAGGGTGCACGTTGTGCTGTCTCCCCACCCCGCCACCACAGCACTTCTCACCAAGGGTCATTTCTTAGAAAAAAAAGGTGCAGGAGCTCATTAGCATAACTTATTTGCATATGCCACACCCCCTGACATCACCGGAAGCATGTCAGAAGGCAACACCCACCGCTCAGGCTCCACTGGACTGTTTTGGATTGCTAGCTATTGGGGGGGAGAACATGCAGATCTGTCCTCGCAGAGGAGGGAGACCTTGTACCTGAACAAAACTTGGTCTTAAAGGTGCCACTGGACTGTTTTGGGTTGCTAGGTATTGGGCGGGGGGATGTGCAGATCTGTCCTCGCAGAGAAGGGAGAGCTTGTACCTGAATAAAACCTGGTCTTAAAGGTGCCACTGGTCTGTTTTGGGCCGGGGTGGGTGGGGCTCTGCAACTTATCTGGCTGCTTCTTGCTCTGACTGAGGGCTGCTGGGAGCAGGGGCTTGTTGCATGTGCCCACCCCCTGGGCTCTTTACTGCCGGAGCTCCACTCCTGTGCGCTCCCGCAGGAAATGACCCCTGCTTCTCACACCAAACTTTCTGTCCCCCCTAGAAATCCACTGTTTGCATGAGACCCAGCAGTACCTCAGAAAAATCATTCACGAGATCGGATTGGAGCTGAAGTCAACCGCTGTATGCACGCAAGTACGCAGGGTCCGGGATGGGGCTTTCACTCTGGATGATGCCCTCCTGCGGACGCAGTGGACCCTCCATAACATCCGGAATGCAATCCTGCGGTCCAGACTGAAAGTCAAAATGGCGCTTCGAGACAGCATGGCTTACCAGGAGATCTGTGCTGGCTCCGAGCGAGAGAGAGAAGCCGGGCTTGTCTCAGGCGATGGGAGACGAACAGCATAGCGAAGGGGCGACGATGCCAAGGCAACAGGCTCGGTGACAAAATTAGCATCTTGTACTTCTTCCAAGTGCCGGCAAGAAAAGAATATTGCTTCTCACCTGGAGCTTTGAGGCTGGCTGTTCCGTCTCAAGCTGTAGAAAGCGCTAATTAGGCGGCTTTACAAATACTTGAACATCGTAGTTTGGTATGGGATCCCAGTCCCAAGTGTGGTCTTTCTAGAATTCTGCTAACTTCTATATTCCAACAGAAGCATTTATAAAGCCGGGCGGTGGCCTGCAAGAAGCATCGCCCTGCATGATCCCTTAAGTACATCACAGAAAAACATCCCTGCATTCCTATTGCAAAATGCTGGATTCGTTATTTCCACTACAAAGATAAATGTCAATAACAAAATCTAACAAGTTAATCTAAAAAAATTTTTTTGCCGCTTGTGATTTGTGTGTAATGTGGACGTGCTGGTTTTCAGATGCAGTTGTTGTACGCAGGTGTGGCATTTGACCAAGAGTTACTGGCATGGTTGAGAAACATGCATTCCTATTGCAAAATGCTGGATTCGTTATTTCCACTACAAAGATAAATGTCAATAACAAAATCTAACCAGTTAATCTAAAAAATTTTTTTTGCACTTGTGATTTGTGTGTAGTGGTTTTCAAATGCAGTTGTTGTACGCAGATGTGGCATTTGACCGAGAGTTGCTGGCATGGGTGAGAAACTGCGTGGAAGAAGGGTTTAGATGAGGGACCCAGGTTCAGATTTCTCACTCAGCTATGAATGCGCTTGAAACAGCTTAAGCTACCCTCACAAGAGTGATTCTGAGAATACTATCAGGGAGGGGCTTAAGACATTTAAAAGGGCGGGTCGATCAAGAAGTTCCTTCACAACAGGAGTTTTAACAGAAACGCAGGAAAGGCGCACAGAACTGCCGTCCTATGAAAATGCCTCCCGTCCCTCGCTCCTTGGAATGGAAAGATGTCAGGTAGCAGTTTTGCTTGGGAGAAAAGGCGGCCACCGCAAAAAAGCAAGCTGCTACTTGCTGAATTGTGACTGTGTGGAAAAGGCAAAGGGTTTTTAGTCCTGTGGCCTGAATAGCCAATAGCTCTTACCCGAGCTATTTATAATTATGTAGTCGTAACGAGTGCTACCGAAACAGTTTTTTTTAAAAGTGTGGTTTTTATGCACTGGAAGTTAAACCCCTTGAAAGCAGAATGACAAGATGGAATTTTCCAGCTGCCCAGTCGTTTAGGGACAGCATTAGTTGCAACAATCCATTGTTTAGTTTTTAATACTACAATTGTTCGTTATTTTTAAAATCCATCTGTGTACTAAAGCAGCCTAAATGTAAGCTCCTCCACCACAGGAAGCCTATCCTATCTCATCCACCTTATCACTAGGCCTCTGGTAAAGAATGTCTCTCCAAATGAAAGCCAAACTCAGCCTGGTTTTAGGGTTTTCTGCTTTCTCGTTTTACTCACTTTTGTGCTCCTGTTGCTTTGATTAGTTCCCCCCCCCCCTTCACCATATTTTGCTCCCTCTAGTGGCCGATTCTATATTACATTACGTGATGTCCAGCATAAAAACCTGAAGTTTAAATCTGAAAGGAGATATGCTGGACATACAGCGAGGAAAATGAGAATGCAGAGAAGCCCTTTGATGGGGAGGGTGGATTACTTCATGGCTTGCAGGCTCCCTTCTGTATCAGCACCAAAAAAAAAAAAAAGGAGGTTAAGCTTCTCATTCTGGGAACAAGGAGAATACGGTACTTCCAAAACTAGAAAACAGAGACAGTTTTCATGCCCCTGCTCAGCAATGATCACTTTTCTATTGGTGGAAACTACCTCCGGAGTAGTACTGCTGTGCTGGCCAGCATGTAACTTCGGAAGCCAGGGGGACACGCTAGGGCTGGGGGTGGCCAAACTGTGGCTCGGGAGCCCCATGCGGCTCTTTCGCACATATTTTGCGGCTCCCAGCAGGGCGGCTGGAGAAGCGAAGGGGAGGCATGCCCCCCCAGTCTTCCCTTCCCCAGCCGGTGTCCCCCTCCCTGGGTAGGCTTGAGGTGCGAGGGAGCAGAGAAAGAAAGCAACTTTAGCTTTAAATGCAGGGCTCTTTATGTAGAAAAAGCCCAGCAGGAACTCATTAGCATAATAGGCCACACCCAACACCAGGAACCTATTAGCATATTGGGCCACACCCCTGACAGCACAGCTCATTAGCATATTAGGCCACACCCACATGTTAGCAGAAGTGTGCTCATCCAGCCACACCCACCTTTTGCTTGTTATTCTGTTTACCTTGTTTGTTGTCAAAACCCAGGGCCTTTTTGTAGCAGGAACTCCTTTGCATGTTAGGCCACACACCCCGAATGTAGCCAATCCTAATGAGTTTCTGCTGTTGGGTGTGGCCTATTATGCTGATGCGTTCCTGCTGGGCGTGGCCAACTCAGGAGCCAGCCGGAACTCCGTTCCTGTGCGTTCCTGCCCAAAAATAGCCCTGTAAATGTATTCTCAAAGTCCCCCCCCACCTACAAATATCATTGGATAAATAAATATCATTATCTGTGTTTATTTTTGGCAGTCTCATTTCATGTTAATAACAAGCAAATTTGCATATTTTTCGATAAAAACGTGTGCGATATTTGTTCATGTCTTGCGGCTCTCAGACATCTGGCATTTATTCTATGTGGCTCTTATGTTCAGCAAATTTGGCCATCCCTGTGCTAGGGCGTTGTGATAAACTGATATAGTGGCACTGGCTAGAGTGTTGGACTGGATGGGTGGGATCCAGATTCAAATCTCCCATCAACCACAATGTTGTCTGGAAGGTAAAATGAAGGAGAGAACCATGAATGCCGCTCAGAGTACTTGGAAATGTGCTACACAGTTCCACATTCAGTTGCAGTACTGCGTCTCAGTATTGGTTGCTTGGGGAGGACCAGCAGCAGCAGCCTTTATGTTCTGAATGTGGGCTACCCAGAGTTATCTGGCTGACCGTAGTTGGAAACAGGATGCTGCACTATATGTCCTGATCAATGCTCCCTCTAAGCGGTCTTGTGAGCCAAAATTCTACTTGGTGAGCTACTGGCATTAAAGTGGTGAGCGAGCCATTTGGCTACTGCATAAAGTAGTTTGCTCTGGAGCCCTCCTTCCTGAGCCGAGACAAAAATGTGTGAGCAGGAGGCTAAAAAACGGTGAGCCAGCTCATACTAACTCTGCTTAGAGGAAACACTGGTCCTGATCCAGCAGGGCTCTTAGGAAAAGTAGAAGCTTAACCTTTTACATGCCTGTGCCCTGAGCTATTCAGAAGGAAGGAATAAGGATGTAACCAAAAAGATAGCACTTGACACCAAGTACTGAACAAATCACTGCAAACAACGATTTTCCATTTATTTTGAAACCATGCAGTTACAACGCGTTTCTCTTTAATGACCTGCCCACTAGCATGCTGCTTACATATATTGTGTGACAAACTGTAGTCCTAAACAGTCTCCTTTTCTAACCCTTCCACAGCGAACATTATCAAGGCAAGTTTCTTGGCCCCACCCCCTTGCTGTCCCACAGACTAACATTCTTCCCCGTTGCTCCGACACCCCAGTTCATTTCACTGTACTAAAAAGAAGGCCGCGAGGGGCAAGGTTTGAACAATTAGGACTGCTAAAAGGCATGGACGGGGAGCTTCCCCAAAGCTCATTCCATGAATGGGAAAGGAACAGACAGAAAACGTTCTGTGACAGATGAGGCACTGGGCCCCTCACAGCGCGATCCTAAGCAAAATTATACCCTTCTAAGGCTGCTGAAGTCAGTGGGCTCAGAACGATGAGGCTTTCCTTAAAATAGCACTGTCAGGATATTATAGCCAACTTGTTCAACTTCCATGAAGAACTGAACTACAGCGCTGAGTCAGTCGGTCTGTGAAACGGCTCTCGTGCCTCCTGAATGACGGCTGACACTCACTGAGCATGTCGTTTCCTCGACGACACTTGGCAGGTAACAGGCTCAACAAGTTCACCGTTAACTTTAAAAGCTTCCAGCAAACCACCGCTCAAGGAGGGTTTCCTGGAAAACCTGAACTTACAACAGTTGTGTGCTGTGCGTGTGCACGATTGCCAATAAGGATGTTCCCCTTCCTTTCTAGTCGTTAAGGTCCAGGCCGAATTCAGGGTATAGCTCCTTTGTGGTGACTCCTCTGATTACGGCTGTGAGAAGAGAGGGAGATAAATTATTATTATCGCATTTCTATCCCACCCTCCCCGCAAGGTAGAACACAGATAAAGATGACAACAAGAGAGGGTTACATCTAGAGATGTAAAATTTCCAGAAATTTTGAAGCTTGGGGGGAAAACCCAGGTTTCCCCCGATTTTTTTCCAGGAAAAAAAATATGGAAATTTTCAGAAAAATTGAAAAAAAATGCTACATTAGCTCTTCTTCTTTCTTTTTCAGATTGAAAGTCATTCTGTTACTTTATGACTATGGACAATTTTACTTGGCATGAAATTATCACAACTGGCATATTAAAAATATAGTGTATCCAAACAATTATTACAAACAGAATTTACTTTTTAAATAATATTTGTAATTGTAACAAACGGAGCAACAATCTCCTGAACTGTTTACTAGTTTATGTGGAACAGACAAAAAAGCCTCCACAAAACAATTTTTAAAAATCCAGAAGTAACAATTATTCATATTTTCTCTCCACAGTATTAAATAAAAATACCCATTCTCATAAAAAGAATTGAAGAGGGGGGAAGTGTATAGAAGGGAGTGTGGGACTAAGTTTCAATGAATGGGCATGACATTTTAATCAGAATCATTATTCATCATGTTAAAATAAAACGTTCCATAATCAATTTTTTTCTTTTCTTTTTTCAATTTTTTTGTCATATCAACATTATATTAAATATTTCTACACTGCCTTATCTTGCGTTGAAGGCAGAATACATGACCAAAAACAGGAAAATTAGAAATAACAATAAAACTGGAAACGCTAAGACATTTTTCCTTTATTCACCATGAAAAACCAAATGCAATTACTCTACAACTGCCCTATCAAAAAAAACACACAACACAAAATAGATGCTTTGCAAGCCCTACAAAAGGGTGCCCGTGAAAACACTCTTCTTGTGGTAGCCCATGCCACAACAGTGATACCACTCCAGAAAGGGACAAGACCAATGTTCCCTCTAAGCTGTGGAGTCCTGAGTGTGAAAATTCTACTTCGTGAGCTCCTGGCATTAAAGTTGTGAGCAAGCAATTTGTCTACTGCATAAATTAGTCTGCTCTGGAGCCATCCTTGCTGAACTAAGACAAAAATGTGTGAGCTGGAGGCTAAAAAACTGTGAGCTGGCTCACACTAACTCAGTTTAGAGGGAACACTGGACAAGACTGCACTGAAGAAGAGTGTATTTAGGAAACTGAGGGCACAGCTGGGAGGAGGTACGACGACTCAGTAGTAGAACATCTGCTCTGCATGCAGAAGGTCCCAGGTTCAGTCCTCAGCGTCTCCAGTTGAAAGAACGAGGTAGCAGCAGGTGATGTGAAAGACCCCCACCTGAGACTCTGGAGTAGACAAGCAGACTGAGTAGACAAGTATAAGGCAGCTTCACGTCGCCTTATTTCTAGTTCAGTATAAGGCAGCTTCATGTATATGGGCATGTATATGTGCAATTGATGTGAACGACTGCTGCAAGGATCTAAGCTTGCATTAGTGCATCAGTAATGTGAGTCCTAAGTAATGTAGGGCTTCAACAGGAAGGACTAGCACCTTGAATTGAGCCCAGAAGCAAACAGGCAGCCAAAGCAGCTGTTTCATAGGGAACTCCTGCCTCACCACACCTGCCAATAAGCAAGCAGCTGCAGGCACCAGCTTTTCTATTGCTCCTAATCCTTATGCACATGTGTTTCCATTATGTTTGCCAACGGTTCAGCTGAAAAGGGGAAAATATAAGAAATACATTTAGAACTCTGTAGAGGCCACAGAAAGGAATCATGGGAGGTCACTCTTTCTTGCCCAGTGTGGCTGTAGTCATTCAAACTTGACAGTAAAGCCTCTCTCTTCGGAGTTAAGCTTTCCCTCTAAAGGGGGTCATTTTAAAGAGAAAACTGCATTACCAGCCAAGCAAGCAAGACCCCGCAATCTGCTCTTACCTAGTCTGCCCAGGAGCATCTGTCCAGCGTCTTTTATCTCGTTGTATTCATGCAGCAAAGTAATGTGTCTGTCTAATTCCTCCAGGCTGAAGCCTCTGCAGACAGCAAACACAGAGAAGTCACCGTGACACGGGGCAAAATAACTGAGAGGAACTGGCTGTTAATTCGGTTGTAGAAGGGGGTCAACCCTCCTCAGCTTTTCATCATGGGCTCTTTCTTTTGCAATTCTATCATTAGTAAGCCCCGCTAAGGAATTCTGCTTCTGTACGTGTTCGATTTTTTAAAAGCCCATTCCACAAGGAGGTGTGCATGGTCTCCTCCCACATGCTGTCCTCTCAGCAACTGGTGAGGTCAGCTAGGCTGAGAAAGAGAGAGCCACCGGCTCAAGGTCACCCAGACTGTTTCAGGGCAGAGTGGGAATTTAAAGCTGGGCCTCCTTGACACTTTTAACCACAAGGCTAAATACAGCCGCCACCCACACTGGCGAGCTGCACCTCTCCTGTGACCGGAGCAGGCTTACATATATCTTCAGCTGCCCATCAAAAGGGAACGAATACGCACTCAGCCAACAACTGTTCTATTTCCTGGTCCAGGGCAAGGTCTTTGCATTTCAGCTCTTCAATTTCCCGCTGGAGGGCTTCCCTGTCGCCCGCTTCAGAGGGACAGGCCTTTGATGACGGGACCTGCTGGGCAGAGTCAGTATTTAACATTCCAGCACCGCAAGCAATGACTGTGATGCCAAGAAGCCAGGCAAGACATTTCTGAAGCACTTATGCGGAAGGGCAGAGAAAGATGAAGAAGAAGAAGAGGAGGAGATTGGATTTATACCCCGCCCTTCACTACCCAAAGGAGTCTCAGAGCGGCTCACAAACTCCTTTCCCTTCCCCTCCCCACAACAGACACCCTGGGAGGCAGGTGGGGCTGAGAGAGCTCTGACAGAAACTGCTCTTTTTTTCAAGAACAGCTCTGACAGAACTATGGCTTGCCCAAGGTCATCCAGCAGGTGCAAGTGGAGGAGTGGGGAATCAAACCCGGTTCTTCCAGATTAGAGTCCGCACACTTACCCACCACACGAAACTGGCTCTCATAGCAAGATCACATAACAAGAGCCACAGGAAGTGGTGGCGGCTACCACAGGAGGTGGTGGCTGCAAGCATGGATGGCTTCAAAAGGGAATTAGACAAGCATATGGAGCAGAGGTCCATCAGTGGCTATTAGCCACAAGGTATAGATAGGGACTCTGGGGCAAGTGATGCTCTGTCTTCTTGGTGCTTGGGTGGGTCAACAGTGGGAGGGCTTCTGATGTCCTGGCCCCACTGGTGGACCTCCTGATGGCACTGGTATTTCTGGCCACTGTGTGACACAGAGTGTTGGACTGGATGGGCCTTTGGCCTGATCCAACATCGGCGTCTCTTATGTTCTTATGTTAACTGTGTCAAAAATCAAATCAACCAGTTCTAAATATTCAGCCAAGGGGGGAAAAAATCTCTGAAACAAGCTGCAGTCTCTGCCGTCTTCTTGGCAGTGACAAGGCTCACAAACGGGGGGTGTACAGCTTTTGGTTTTGAAAAATTTATTTTGTACCCAATTCTTCAAGTCACACAGGGATGCTTGAAAATGTAAATTGCAGATCTTTAAAGCTCAGACACAAGAGATAATCTCAGTGGACTCCCAATGATCAAAGAGTCTGGTTTTAAAGATGGGACTCCCTCTTCCCGAAAACATCTGAGGACTAATGCCCTGAGCACAAGTTTGGCATCATCCTAAAAGAACTAGTTTATGGTAACGACGTGGCTACCCACCTGAATCTTAGCTTATGGCAAAAAAATTTATTTTGTACCCAATTCTTCAAGTCACACAGGGATGCTTGAAAATTTAAATTGCAGATCTTTAAAGCTCAGACTCAAGAGATAATCTCAGCAGACTCCCAATGATCAAAGAGTCTGGTTTTAAAGATGGGGCTCCCTCTTCCCGAAAACATCTGAGGACTAACGCCCTGAGCACAAGTTTGGCATCTTCCTAAGAGAACTAGTTTTTGGTAACGACGTGGCTACCTACCTGAATTTTAGCTTATGGCACGCAACTTTGGAGGGCTGGTTTACATGAGAATACTAGTTTTATTGAAATGCAGTCTAATTTTAATTTAAGGAGATGATATAATGCAGTATCAACTCACCCTAAACCCTGAATTCTTTTCCCAATCACATGTGAGGGGGAAAGTATGATCTAACAGTCCCCTAAGAAATAAAGATGCTCTAGCTAAGACTGCTGCCTGTAGATATTTCTTGAGATACAAGATGAAAGGCAATGGCACAACAATATACCAAAACAGGAAAAAAATGCATGTTCTGAAATTTAACATCAATGATCAATAAATTTAATTAGACATATAAAGTAGAACAAATTTTCCAAAAACAGGTAGAACAAATTTTCCAAAAACAGATAGAAATTCACTGGTGAAGTTTAAACAAGTAGAAATTCACAGGTGGAGTTTTCCCACACAACTCATGTGAATTCAAGAAAGTCCTTAATCTGAAAGGATGTAGTAGTGTTCTGCCAGCTGACTCGACGGACCCCTCCCTTCTTACCCAATGCAGAAGGGAGGTTCCAGGAAATGGTAGATTCTGCATTGGGTAAGAGTTATTTCTGTGACCACTTTTGGAAATATTTCATATTGAATTTTGTTTACAGTATTGTGAGTGCACTTACTTTTATGTTGATGGTATTATGCTACTGTATTTATGAAGGAACCACTGAAGATTGCTGCATTTGAATATGCTTTATGGATGTCAATATCAAGCATGATTCTTGAAAAAAATTACTGAAACGGATTTAGAACTGGAGGTCGGTCGAGGTATTAGGGCCCTGCGGGACCTTCTACAGTTCTGCAGGGCCTGCAAGACAGAGCTCTTCCACTAGGCTTTCAACCAAGGACCTGCCTAATAACCTAATAACTGAATACTAGCCAAGGCCCTGTCCCCTGAAATCACCATGGGCAGCCTGTGCCCCACAACCACACAGGGATTGAGACAGTACCTCTAACAGCAGTGCTGACTATATTTCAGTGATGGTGAACCTTTTAAAGACCGAGTGCCCAAACTGCGACCCAAAACCCACTTATTTATCGCAAAGTGCCAACCCGGCAATTTAACCTGAATACTGAGGTTTTACTTTAGAAAAAACAACTCACACATTAACTTAAGATGATCCAAACAAAGTAAGGAAAGCAATCCCAAATGCTTTCATTTTCTTAAAATTATTTGGCAGAGAATTCGACACTTTAATGATGGCCTGGGCCTGGCATGGGCGATGGCACGCGTGCCCACAGAGAGGGCTCTGAGTGCCACCTCTGGCACCCGTGCCATAGGTTCGCCACCACTGCTATATTTCATTATGACTGATCCGTTATGATGCTCCGCCATTGCTATGCAAAGGTTGGTACTTTACTAGCACTTTATGAATTGGTTTTATAATTGTTTTGTTTTATGTATTTTAACTTTTATGTAAGCCACCGAGTCTGTGTTAACGGGGAGGGTGGGGTATGAATCGAGTAAATAAATAAATAATAACGCCCCCAACCAACTTTGATAGTGACGAGTCAGACAAGTTTGAAATCAAGTTCTGCATTCCGTGATTCAAGTTAAAGATAACCAGTGCATCCCAGATCGGCACCCCAAAATGGCCTTTGGCCTGTCCCAGATCAGACTGCTGAATGACTCTGCCCTACTAGCGGCTTCCCAGACTTAAGGTGCAGAGGAAAAGTTTGGCACCCAGTCACTTACTGGAGACTTGAAATGTGGATTGCGATTTCTCCACGTTCCAGTAGGTGTCCTGAATGAAAACAAAACAGTCATTTGAGTCTCTCACATCGTAAGTCTCGCTAGAATTAACGAGACATTATTTTGGCCGTTCATCAGCGGGAACAGTCAACAAAGGATGTGTACTGCAACCCTCCGCAGAGTTCCTCCAGTCTAACGATCGATTTCAACAGGCCTAGACCGGAATAACTCTGCATAGGGATGTTTCTGTTGCTGTTGTTCAGTCGCGCAGTCGAGCCCGACTCTTCGCGACCCCATGGACGAGATCACGCCAGGCCTTCCTGTCTTCCGCCGCCCTCTGAAGTTGGCTCTATATTGTTCTTTGCAGCATCGGACTTTCCTTTCACCATACTGGGGGTTCTTGTACTTGCCCTCTGCTCTTCCCTGGACAAAAGACTGGTCAAGTTTTTACAAAAGCATTTCCAATCCCAGGCTAGCCTGATCTTTTCAGATCTTGGAATCTAAGCAGGTCAGCCCTGGCTAGTATTTGGATGAGAGACCTCCAAAGAATATCAGGCAGGCGATAACAAACCACCTTTGAATATCTCACTCTGCGGGGTCGCTATGAGTCAGCTGTGACTTGACAGCAAAAACAAACAATCCCCTCCCCTATTCGAACAACAACAAAGGACACTTTTAATCATTTGTAGGATTGACAATTTTCTACTCAGTAAATAACCTGTATTTGCGAAACAGTCAAATTAACGTTACAAAACGATAACACTGTGATGAACTACTACGACGTTTACCAAGGTTATTTAACGTTTCCGTAACTCTGAGTGAGTCACAATGCTCCCCCTAAGCCGTGGAGTCTTGTAAGCAAAAATTCTACTTTGTGAGCTGCTGGCATTGAAGTTGTGAGCGAGCGATTTGGCTGCTGCATGAATTAGTTTGCTCTGGAGCCCTCCTTCCTGAGCTAAGACAAAAATGTGTGAGCCGGAGGCTAAAAAACTTAGAGGGAACACTGGTCCCCACAACTGAGCGGTTATCTCCCCTTTGACTTTGCTGGAACAGTAGGTCCAGCCCAGTTTGATTTATTTTCAAATTAGAAGTAAAGCAAAGTGAGATCAGATTTTTTTTTTTTTGCTTAGTAAAGAGCAGGCCAGTTTTTGTTTGGAGATGTCAACAACTATGGGGTTTGTGTGTGCAGAAGGAACTGACACCAGCATGAAACTGAAAAGGAAGCTGACACCTACAAAACAGCACTTCTGGCTCCATAAACACTCACTGAGGGTATCCGACTGCTGGTAAAAACAGGCCATCAGTCGACAGGGTCAGCTGACACGATTTGGTTTCTCCAACACAGAACTTCACAAAAGAAGCCGCGGTGTGTGACAAAGTCCCATTCTTCTCAGCTGACCAATCAAAACACATTAACAGTTTAATTCCCTAAGACTGTTTATTCATAAGTGACCCAATGAACTCACTTCTCATTAATGGGATCAGGATTACAGTCTTGAAGCCTAATCTTTTCCATGTCTGTTTGCCTGGGGATCTTACCCAGTTAAATGGGACGCCCTGTCACGGATAAATCTGCACAGCATCACAGCATCCCCCCCCCCAGCTACAAGATCATTTGCGCGCTTGCACACCCACCTGGGGTAGAAGGCAAAAAGAATCGAACAGCGCCATGAAAGGCATACAGAATGCAAACAGCAACATTTCTATGTAAGATATAGTAAAGGTAAAGGTTTCCCTTGCTCGAAAGCCAGTCAAATCCAACTCATCTCCGTTTCAAAGCCGAAGAGCCAGCGCTGTCCGAAGACGTTTCCGTGGTCATGTGGCCGGCATGACTAGAAACCGAGGCGCACGGAACGCTGTTACCCTCACACCAAAGTGGTACCTATTTATCTACTTGCAATTTTTTGCTTTCAAACTGCTAGGTTGGCAGGAGCTGGGACCAGAGACAGTCATGCGGCACTCGAGTCTTAAACTGCTGAACTACCGACCTTCCGGTCTGCAGTTCAGCATCTTAACCACTTGAGCCACCGCAGCCCCTATGTAAGATATGCTTGTACCAAAATGAATCTATATTCACCTTTATGGTTGCCAACCTCCAGGCGGTCAAGTCACAAATAAATATACACTGCGAGAAACTTTTGTAAATTAACGTGTTCTGTTTATAACTATCATTCTATAAAGTGCATTGTGTATTATTATAGCATCCTAATCAGGTATATATATTCAGTACATTCAGTTATAACACTAACTTACAGTTCATTCAATATAACAACCACCAGTCAGTTTTGCATCAGTATTTTAAAAGCCAAACCCCAGCGGGAGCTTCCAGAATCACACCCCCGCTTCTACTTGCATGAAGTCTTTCAAAAGGGGGAACACTTTCATTTATAGTTGTGTTGATGCTTATTGCCGGTCCTACAAAAGACACATTGTGCATCTAAGATTCATGGACAGAGCGCTCCTGTCATTCTCAATTGACTGGTAGTTCTTATATTGAATGAACTGTAACTTAGTGTTATAACTGAACGTACTGAATATATATACCTAATTAGGATGTCATCAGGGCCGGATTTAGACTTGCTGAGGCCCTAAGCTATACAAAACCCAGAGGCCCCCTACTGTTTTAAATTACATCAGCTGGTCTCAGAAAAATTTTAAAATATATACGCCTTTTTAATATTTGAAATCATTTTTTATATTGTGTTTTTATTTGAGGCCCCAGCAGATTGCGAGGCCCTAAGCTGTAGCTTATTTAGCTTATGCGTAAATCCGGCACTGGATGTCATAATAATACACAATGCACTTTATAGATGGATAGTTATAAACTGAACACATTACAAAAGTTTCTCCCAGTGTATATTTATTCCTTACTTGACTTTCCTAACACTGCAGCTCGGGTTGCTACAACCTCCAGGCGGTGGCTGGAGATCTCCTGGCAGCAGAGATCAGCCCACCTGGAGAAAGTGGCTGCTTTGGAAGGTGGACTCTACAGCTGCTGTGCCCCACTGAAGTCCCTCCCCCAAACCCTATCCTCCTTAGGCCCCGCCCCCAGAATCTCCAGGTATCTCCCAACCGGGAGCTGGCAACCCTGCTCCCTTGATAGGCTCAGAGAAATGCGAGCGGAATTCCATTCGCAGGGAGTCTCCCGAGGACTCAGCGTCTTCGCACCTCCTCAGAAGGGGTCCCGGGGAAGGCCTCCCCGCGGCTCCTGGCCTCGGGCTGAACCCCCTTTCCGAGGGGGAGGCGCGCTCCGGTTTATCCAGCGCGCCTCGCAACGCCGAGGCAAGCCCACAGCCTCCATCAACTTCCTCTCCGCTTTGCATCTTGGGATTTGGAGTCGGGGGAGGGGGGAAGTGGGCAGTAGTGCATGATGGGAGTTGCTATCCGGGCAATTCGGGGCAGGCATCGCTGCTGGGTTTTGTAGTCTTTGGAGACCAAATCGTTTCCGGGTCTGTCGTTCCAGAATCTGGATGTGCAGAACCCCCAGTTTCCTTCTGGATTTGTTGTGGCAAACTGATCTACCCCCAAAAAATCTGAAATAGAGTGAGAATTGACAATACCATCATACAACAGACATCCACCACTTTCCCCTAATATATGCTTGTAAATTATATGAAACATACACTCCAATATGCAAGGGAAACTGAACTCAATAACACTGTAAGCTAGTGTGAAGTGTCTGGAATACTGCAGTGAAAGAATCAAGAGAATATCTTGTTGGGTACACGAAACTGCAAGTTAAAACACTTGTGACAGTAGCTGGAAACTGCAGAGCTCAGGGAATGTTATGCCTGCATTTGATGAGGTCACGAGGTAGTGGAAGGGCCTTCTATATAGGAGGTAGTGCTCCTGGCCGAAGACTGTAGAACAAGGAGATGGCTGCCTGTACGGATGATTAAATTAAAAGGCAATAATGACATCTTTAACTATTGAAAGAAGTAATAATACCAGCAGTTTTTTGTTTTGTTTTTTTTTGAAATCCAGTATTTTTGCTAGGTAGGGCTGCTGTCAGCTTTGGGCGGCAGATTTGGGGGCGAATGTAAGCCTGGGCAGGGCGGGGTTTCTCCTGCCAACCTAGCAGTTCGAAAGCAAGAAATGGCAAGTAGATAGATAGGTACCACTTGAAAGCAAGAAATTGCAAGTAGATAAATAGGGACCACTTCGGTGGGAAGGTCACAGCGTTCCGTGCGCCTCGGTGTTTAGTCATGCCGGCCACATGACCACGGAAATGTCTTCGGACAGCGCTGGCTCTTCGGCTTTGAAACGGGGATGAGCACCGCAACCCTAGAGTCGGATTCGACTGGCTTTCGAGCAAGGGAAACCATTACCTTTACCTAGGGCGGGGTTTGGGGAGGGGAGGGACCTCGGCAGGATATAATGCCATAGAGTCCACCCACCAAGGCAGCCATTTTCTCCAAGGGAAACTGATCTTGACCATCTGGAGATCAGTTGTAATAGCAGGAGATCTCCAGGTGACCCTGGGAGGTTGGCAACGCGTTACAGGAGAGCTTAGAATTGGCGGCACCACCACCCTCCCCTGCCTTCCGAGAACATCTTCTAGGGGACAGAAATTCACCTAACAGGTTTTGGGTTCACAGAGCATACAGTTTTTATGAAGGGTGATCCTCCTGGTGCCTACTCATGCAAATGAGAGCCAGTTAGGTGTCGTGGTTAAGTGTGCGGACTCTAATCTGGGAGGACAGGGTTTGATTCACCACTCCTCCACTTGCAGCTGCTGGATGACCTTGGGCAACCCATCGTTCTGGCACAGCTGTTCTTGAAAGGACAGTTCTCTCAAAGCTCTCTCAGCCCCACTTACCTCACAGAGTCCCTGTTTTGGGAAGGGCGGGGTATAAATCCAATCTGTTCTTCTTCTTTTCTGGGATAAAGTAGGTAAAAGGTCATGGTGTGGAATTTCAAAGGGTTGGGAATCCCTCTGTCAGGTTGCTCTGTTTCCCCTGTTGCAGCTTCCCACACTCCTGCATTCACCTTGGGCTGGGTTCTGGGTAAGGGGATCTGTGGATTCTGGGACTTCCCTTGCTACTCAGATGGCTGTATTGGTGACTGACTAGCAGGGCCTTCCCACCAGTGGTCCCTCTAAGCTGAGTGAGTGTGAGCTAGCTCACAGTTTTTTCAGCCTCCAGCTCGCACATTTCTATCTTAGCTCAGGAAGGATGGGCTCCAGAGCGAACTAATTGATGCAGCGGCTAAATCGCTCGCTCACAACTTTAATGCCGGTAGTCGGTAGCTCACAAAGTAGAATTTTTGCTCACAAGATTCCACAGTTTAGAGGGAGCGTTGCTTCCCAGGTGGGCTTCAAGGCAGATTTCTTTCATCATCTGCCCTTACAGGCGCCAGGAGGATCACCCTTCATAAAGACTGTATGCTCCGTTAGCCAAAAGCCTGTTGGGTGAATTTCTGTCCCCTAGAGGTGTTCTCAGGAAGGGGGGGCGGGGGGGCTGCCTATTCTAGGCTCTCTGAACACACTAAGGTTGTGTTCAGACTGGTAGTTTGGCCCGATAGAGGCACATTTTACAAATGGATTAAACGGGCACGATCACACAGCCACATCTGTCAGGCGTTCCCTGGGCGTACTCACCCCGTCAGAGGACAACTTGGAGCCGGGTTAAAAAGCCACCAATTTATGTATTATTACAAACAATTCCACCGAACTTGTCGTATGGAACAAGAAGTTTGTGGCCAGTCAAGCTAGAAAAAATGTACCTTTAAAGAAGCATAATAAATCCTCATGGACGCTAATAATTTAAAGAGGCATACAGACATTAACACACTAGTTAAGCTGCACCCCTTTTACACTTTCAAAAAGCTTTAAGATGTTCAGAGACATACAGAGCCAATATAATTGGCAAAGTGACTGCTCTCTTCGCAGAGTCTCTCTCGGAGAATCAAGTGTAGTGGAGAGTTGAGAGAGAGTGCAACAAAGAATTGACTGTGACATGCCCTCTGGAATGACTGTGACGTGCCCTCTGGAATGATTGTGCGTTTCAACAATTCTTTTTCAAAGCCTTAGTTAATTAATTTATCCATCACTGTTTGGAACCCATTTTTGCAGAACAATTCCTGATAGCAGTTAACCACCCTTGTAAATGCCTTCTGTCTACCTCAAGAACCCTTATGAGAATTTATGAGGTAGATTTGCCACTGGGAAGTGGCTGTTTGACTCAATGGTAGGTAGTGTTCCCTCTAAGCTGAGTTAGTGTGAGCTAGCTCACAGTGTTTTTAGCCTCCGGCTCACACATTTCTCTTAGCTCGGGAAGGACGGCTCCAGAGCAAACTAATTTATGCAGCAGCCAAATCGCTCGCTCACAACTTTAATGCCAGTAGCTCGCAAAGTAGAATTTTTGCTCGCAAGACTCCGCCGCCTAGAGGGTACATTGGTCCCCACCCAGATGTCCTCTTTTTAGGGGACCTGTCTTCTTTTTTGTGTCTGTCCTCTTTGGGGCTCTTTAAAAAAACACACAATGAAAATGTCCTCTCTTTGGGTTGGAAGTCCCTCCCCAAACCCCGCCCTCCTCAGGCCCCACCCCCCAAATCTCTAGGTAGGTCCCAGTCCTGAGCTTGCAAACCTAGCCATGGCCCTTCTGAATAACTGACTCAGGAGAAAGAGTCTTCTTTAGGGATTACTTTTGTAATACCACTCCTAAATCAGACACGTTGTGTGCAAACCTTTATTAATGACTCAGAGGGAAGGGTCTGGCTGTGCCTGAAATACCAGCTGCTGTAAGTGCCTGGCATGTAGGCACTGAACTTTCATATCCATGAACAGATCTGGCTAGTAAATGCTTCTCTGGTCTGATAAAAACCGAATAATTTTTAGCAATTTGTTTGTATTTGGATGTCCCTCATAATACCTGGTCTTAAACTCAAGTTTATTTAACTTGTGCATAAACCCAGCTCAGTTTAAATATTACATGGCTGGAACCGTTTGAAAGAGACAAATATCCAATCAGAAAAGGACCATGAAAATACTATAAAGTGTGTGGTCAGAACATGGACATTTTTGACACGGCATTCAGACACTTGACTCTCTTGCTGATCTGCCACTAAGGAAACATTACAAGAGTATTCCTTGACAGAATTACCATGGCTACACTATAGTGATAGTGCCATCCTAAGCAGGTCCATTTAGAATCCTAATCAGGTTTATTAATTGAGGCTTACTTCCAAGTAAGAGTTCTTAACAAACCTAGTAAACTGTGGACAGGAAGCAGTAAGCAATGTTTTGCACCCATCCAAGTGTCTTCTGTCTTTTTCAAAAGTAACACTGTTTATGTATAACAAAGTTTGAGTCCAGCGGCACCTTTAAGACCAACAAAGTTTTATTCAAGGTACAAGCTTTCGTGGGCACACACACTTCTTCAGATACAATGAAGCGGGAATTACCAGTCCATACATAGAGGCAGAAGGTGAGCAGTAAATTAGCATAAGGTAAAGGTTTCCCTTGCTCGAAAGCCAGTCGAATCCGACTCTGGGGTTGCAGTGCTCATCTCCGTTTCAAAGCCGAAGAGCCGGTGCTGTCCGAAGACATTTCCGTGGTCATGTGGCTGGCATGACCAGATGCCAAGGCGCATGGAATGCTGTTACCTTCCCACTGAAGTGGTACCTATTTATCTACTTGCAATTTCTTGCTTTTGAACTGCTAGGTTGGCAGGAACTGGGGCCAGAGACAGGAGCTCACTCCGTCATGCAGCACTCGGGTCTCGAACTGCTGAACTACCTATCTTCCAGCCTGCAGTTCAGCGTCTTAACCACTGAGCCACCACAGCTTCAAATTAGCATGCAGCATAATAAAGATGTTTAAAGTCCTTTAATTGCTGTTTCATTAAATGAATATCAAGCAGTAACTGTTCTTTCGGCACTCCTGATGCAAAAGCCACACAGCTGGCCACTAAAATAAGCCCACCACATGTGTTCAGCCACAAGCTGTCACTTATGCAGTCACAGGGCTAGTCTTGGAAAATGGTCACTGCACAATCAACATCACAGAATAAACTCGGCTACACGAATCAATGTATTAGCAAACTAAAAACTCATATAACTCTTTGTACGACTACTTTGATAATTGTGAACCTTGGAATATTTAATGAAGCAGACTTTAGTCCATGACATATGGTCCATGCTGTATGTGGTCCAGACTTATCCCATGGTAAAACTGTGTGTTTTTAATGTGCCACAAGATAGTTTAGTTATTTATAAATTCAGGGGTCATTTCATAGAAAAAGAGGTGCAGGAGCTCATTAGCATAACTTATTTGCATATGCCACACCCCTTGACATCACCGGAAGTGTGTCAGAAGGCAACA